GTGATTATAAGATACAATTTGTTTCAGATACTTTTAATTTATTAATAATGTATATACATAATATAAATGCAGCTGTTCGAATTTAGAATCTATAAAAAGAATAAAATTCTCTTTTATCAGTGAGATCTCTCAATGGGTTCAGGTTAAACTCGACTAGATACCATCAAACTTTAGGCGATGTATCGTTTATACTTCTGAACTTTTAATTTTGTCATTTATAGTACTAAACTTTTATTTTCGTTTCAATTATATCACTGCGCCGCTAAATCGTTAACAGCCAGATCAAAACGACGTCGCTTTGGTGAAGTGTTTACGTCGACAACCATCAGCCATGTTATCGTGTCGTTAATGATTTAACAGTTCATTGGTATAATTGAAATAAAAATCAAAGTCCAATGCTATAATTGATAAAATTGAAAGTTAAGTGTTATAAACGATACAATACTTAAAGTTCATATATATATATATGGGTAGTATCCAGTTACATAATGTAAAACTCTTTTAGTTTTACACAGATTTAGGCCTGTTTGATGAGTGAAAATAGATGATCGAGATTGGGTCCTTATTTTTTTCCGGTAAATATATTCTCATTTTCTACTATTAATAATATTAAATTTGTGTCAAACTAAAAGAGTTTTATATTGTGTAACCGGATATTATATGCGCGCACACACAAATATATATATAGATGAAAGGATTATCAAAGAATGAGCTGAATCTTGGTCAAAAATTGCAACCCAAGTTGCATGCCAAGACAAGCTTGTGAGTTTAGATGGCTAAATAAAAAAGGTCATTGAAATGAAAAAGTTCCTCGCTTTCTGACTACGCTTTGTTTACCAAGTGACCCAACTTTTAGTATAAATAGAGGTGAAAGAGATGCGGGTACTTGGACCATCACGCAAGGAGCTATAGAAAACAAGAGACCATGGACAAAGGACATACCACTGTGACTCATCTCATGTGGCTCTTATTGGTTTTATCAATTGCTTTGCGCGCCAATGCAACTGCCGGTGCTCGTCTGGGAACATTCCAACAAGCTGTTTATCCCCAAGGTATATATATTGATTTCAACATAACATTACTATCATAATTATGTGGTTTCGACTCTTCGAAGAAGAAGAAGAAGAATATGATGATGATGATATTGATATTTGCAGGCTGCCGTTGCTGCTTTTTCGTTGGGAAACAGTTCATGCTTCGATGTGGCAAAGTATGCTGCGGTGATGATTGCTGTTTTTAGAAACGAGCCACCAATTTCTCCCTACTTCCAATTGCATTGAGCCGGCCCACCGGAAGAACTTGATGGCAGAGGAAGGTTGATTGTAAGAAAATCTGAGGGCTTGTCGGACGACATCGGAAGTGGGGATGATCCCGGAGGAGGAGAGCGCAGATTCAATATCGTGAGGAGAAACATGGGTAAGGAGGTCTCAGAGGGTTCGAACAGTTGGGGAAACATCGGGTACATCATGATGCGTGGGGAAGCGTTGGGGTTGGAGATTGTTGGGGATTGAGAGTGTTTGGTTTTGGGATTTTCTTGGGAGTTTAGTGTTATGGTTCTTAGCTATGAGTTCCATTCGATTTAGGCTAAAAAAACAAAAAAGGAAAAAGAAGAGTTCAAGTACATGAAAAGAAACCCTAACAATACTGGATTCGAAGAAGAAACAAAAAGGAAGTAAGCAGACAACAAAGGAAGAGTTGCAGAAAAAGAACCTGAGAGTTGACTAAATGCTTCTTCCAAAAAGAAAGAAACTGGAAAAAACCTGAAGCCTTTAGTGTGCCGCCTCCGGCAAGTGGCAGAATGTGGGGATAGATGAGTAGCCGTGGACGGAAACAAATCTATCTTGAACATTCGACTGGTTGATCGAACAAGAAATCAAAATTAAACAGATCCATTGAAGAAGTTATGTTTAAATATAGAGAATTAGAGCGATCAAAAGAAAAATTAAGAAAATAAAACTGACCTTGACCGAATAAGAAAGTCTTGATGAACAAATGACCTTACCGAAAAACCTTGCTCATGAGGATCGACCAAGCATGACGAGGAATTGGATTAGATAAAATAGGGGTAAACTACACAAATGATCCCTCATTTATAGGACATTGTTTTTTAGTTCATTAACTATAAAAGGTTACAAAATGGTTCCTTAACTATAGAGTGTTGTTTTGTTGAGTTCCCTTACTATAAAAAGTTACAAAATTGTCACCTGACTATTCATATTATCAAAACTTGTCATTTTCTGTTAAAAATCAGTGGTCGTTTGATTTGGACGTTAACATGTTAATTAAGATATGATAAAATCTTATCCAAAATTGTTTGAGTTGTATTTTTTGGATCAACACTTCGTTTATATTATGACATAGAGCTAGTGCTTGAAATATTATATCGTCGAGCCAATGCTTGAAAGCAACAATGGTATTTGTAAACTATGTTGCATTGATATAGGTACGGGGATGGGTACGGGGACGGGGACGAAAAACGATAATTTCTAAAATTATAGGGTACGGGGACGGGAATGGTACAATAAATATAAAGTAAATTTTAAAATTGTAGAAGACATAAAAAACCATAAATATTCATTAAAGTTCATAGTGACTAGAATTCTTTGATAAAAAGATGGAGATTGTAGCGGATGTAAATCAAATCTTTAACACAACTTGAATTTAACTTATTCTTAAGTGAGTGGACGAAGGAATAAATACTACAATTTCTTTCACACCAAGAGGATGAAGTAGGTTGTCCAAACACTTTGAAAGCAAAATGTTGGAGCAATAGAGTTTCGGCACCAAAGTTAGTCTACTAACTTTTTGTTTCCAATTAATATCTAGTCTGCTAACTTTTCATTTCCGAATAAAATCTTAAAAATAATTGTGGGTACATGCGTGAAGATCAAATATCCTCCTTGATACGTCCCCGAAAATCTTTTTGGCATACCCAATTAATTTCAGTCGTACCTCTTAAACATAAAACGTCTCCATTACGTACCTACATTGTACCCGTCTTGTACCCATATCGGTGACGTATCGGGTACTTGGTACGTCACTAAGTTGTCATACTCATGCTACATAGCTAGTAAATATCATTAAAATATGATTTTATCATATCTCATTTAGCATGTTAACATCCAACTCAGACGGATGTCAATTTTTTAATGAAAAAAAGACGAGCTTGGAACATTTGAATAGTCAAGTAATCATTTTGTAACTTTTAATAGTCGGAGACTAACAAAATAGTGCCATATAATCGATGATCATTTTATAACTTTTAATAGTCGAATGACTCAACAAAACAATACCCTATAGTCGAGACCATATGTGTACTTTACTAAAAAACCGAAAGTTAAACTATACATGTAATCCCCTTATTGTAAAATATTTTTTTGTTAAGTTCTTTAATTATAAAAATTTATAGAATAATCACTTTATTTAAAATAATAATAAGTTTAAATTTTTTTTCAGGATATGACGACATCTCCTGTTAAGAACAAGTGCTTGAATGGATGAACACCTAATTCTCAAAGGATTCATCTTAGTGATCTAGACGAGGCTTTGAGTCAGTAAAGATTGGTGTGTAATCCTTTAAAAATAGTTAGTCCTTGGCAACCTAAACAATGGAAAATAATACATCAACATCACTACAGCAAAAAAAGCATTTGCGGCGTTTATTTTAACTTATAGCAGCGTTTTTAAGCGCCAATAAAAACACTTGCGACGATATGAAAAATGCCACAAGAAGCATCAGGCAAACTAGCGCTGCTAAAGTTCGCGGCGTTTGATAACAAAAAACGTCGCAATAGATGAAGAGATATAGCGACGTTTACAAACGCCGCAAAAAGTCGAGATATACAATGTCGTTTTTTGGATACAAACGTCGTAAAATGTCTATATCTATAGCGGCGTTTTTATAAACTCCGCAGAAGGTTAAGATATTTAGCTGCGTTTTTCGTATACAAACGCTGCAGAAGGTTTGGTTTATAGCGACGTTTGTTTTTCGATACAAACGCCGCATATTATCTAAACTTTATGTGACGTTTTTTTATGTAAAACGCCGATATTGTTTGTGTTAATTAGCGGCATTTTTTATTACAAAGCCGCTAATGAACACAAAATTGACAACAATTTAATTTTTTTTCTTCGATTACCCCAAATCTTTTTTTAACCTGTTCCATTATCCAATAAACATGACATCTATAACGACAAAATCTATTTCCATAAAAACCAACATCAAATCCATTATAATAAATAAAAGTTTACATTAACGTAATAGTAATGCAATTAATGCAGTTAAACATTGTTTAGTAACATTAACAAAACATATAACATAAATAAGACCTAGATGGTGGATTTTGAGGTTGCGTTTTTTGTATCATCTGCATCATAGCTTCTAGATGATTTTCAAATTCTTTACATTTCTACTGATATGCTGCTTCTCTCTCTGCTTTCGCTGTTGCTCTCGCTTCATATTCGGCTTTCATGTTAGCCCTTTATTGATCCATTTCAGTCAACTTTTTGTTTTAAACGACTAACTTCTAATTGGGAAGACTGAGACTGTGATGACATGTACTGAGATTAACTGGATCAAAAATATTTAGTGGGAGTAACGAATGATCTTTGACAGTGAACCCGACCATATCTTTCAGGACCCAAAATGTCATTAATAGCTTGATTTTCAATGTCATCCATATTAACAAGACCATGACTTGAAGCCGTAACTTCATACTCCGCCCTTTTCTCCCTCAATTTTTCCTAATAATAAAGTAAATAATTAATTCAAATAAAAATATCATACTACATATATAAATAAAACATGGCTTCATACTCCGCCCTTTTCTCCCTCAATTTTTCCTAATAATAAAGTAAATAATTAATTCAAATAAAAATGGCATACTACATATATAAATAAAACATAATTCAAATCCTCTCTATCCAATAAATGTACCATAATTTTTGCAACTTCAGCAGTCATAGGAGTGCTATCTTTTTTTGTATGTGTCATGTCGAAGAATTTGATTCGGCCAACTTTAGAACCAGATGTATTTTCCTACAATGTACCATAATATAATTAATTTGAGTTAGTATATACATGGAATACAAATAAATATGTGAATAATCTATAATACCTCGTCATTAGCTATACAAGCAAAGCTCTTCGATCTAGCCGTGTGAGTAAACTTTTATTGTTGCCTACTAGCAACACCAACATACTCTCGGTCCTATAATTTAAAACAACCACTTATAAAGTCAATATTATAATTCGTTAAAATTATTTTTGAAAAATACATCATACCTGTCCTTTTTGTGAACTCCAAAATTTGACTATATCTTCCCATTGATACATGAGCATTCCAGGTGGGATAGTCTATAGCTTCTCTTCAAGGTTGAGATTATTATTGAAGTATTTCTTTTTTAATGAGCTCTTGTGGTCTCTCCATCTCTTCCCTAACGCTTGCTTCAAATAATCATCAAAGACCTCTAAAGAAAATTTCTCCTATACATCAAATAACTGTTCAAAGTATAAATTACTATTGAATTGTTATAGAGTATTTATTATAATGACATTATTACCTTAACAAAATCCAAAGCCTGAATTTTATTACTATTAGGCATTTCGCGCCATGACTCATAATTGATCGGTAAAAAATTAGCATTACGTCCAACTATGCCTAAGTAATCGGATAGAAGATGTGTTTCTGGGCCAATAGGTTGACCGACATCGTTTCTTGAAACGTTGACACGGTGCCCAGGAGGAAGTCGGTATAATTCTTTCAACGTTGTACGTCCTCTAGTCTTGTGTGTTCCAACATTTTCAACTATATAAGAAATTATTAAATGTAAGTTTTCAAAATGAACAAAATATTAAATAAAGTGTCGAACATTACCTTGAATTTCTACAGCTTTTTCAACAGTTATAGGAACTTCCGAAGAGTCAACAACATTTGATTCCTCATTATTTGTTTGTTCATGCTCTTCAGAAGCTCGAACAATCCGCAAATCACTTATTTTTCTCCTCGGCATGATATATGTAATAAACAAACAACATTTTTAGTAAGAAAACAGTTTAATTAATGAATATATTAAAGGAAACATTTTAAAAGTTAAAACATTATAAATAAATAAATTAAGATATAAAATCTTACGACATTCTTATGTGATATTAGTTGTCATAAATATCTTCATCAACGTCCTCCCGAACCTATTGAAATTGTATTGCAATAGTGATAATTTCATCTAAGTTTGTGCTACTAGAGGTAAAGATTCTAATATTGTTTCAATGTCATCTCTACTTCAATCCCTAATGTCTATCAAGTCTCTAGGAGTATTACGGAGCACAACATACCAACCGTCATCCGTTGGATCGTGACAGTAAAAAACTTGTTTCACTTGAGAAGAAAATGCATATGGTTCATCCATCAATCGTGATAGTAAAAAACTTGTTTCACTTGAGAAGAAAATACATATGGTTCATCCATAGTGTGAATATTAGGAACTAAGCTTAAACCATATACCTCTATTGTTGGTTTTAGACTCGGATCTATGCTATGCTAGTCATTGTTCTTTAGTTTGATATAATTTAATCCTTCATTTATAATTAATATTATACTTCAATGCAAATCACTTTTGTTAATCGGCTAATATAGAATTCTTTTAGTAACGTTAGTAAATGGCAAAGTTATCTACATAATCATATTCCTGCACTTTGCTGTCATTGTCTCTTCATCTATCTCCATAAGTTTTTGGAATGCGAAGACCTTTTTCACTATTAATGTGGTTAACTGATAACTGTAAAAACAAGTTAAGGTATTCACATTAGATTACAAATTAATGGATAAAGGGAGGAGATGCTACAACAAACACGTGTTAATGCGTAAGAGACTAAAATTAGGGGATCAACTGCTAATAATTAGCGAACATATGATCTAACCAGAAGTTTTTTAGTACAAACCCAAGAGAATATACTAGCAAAGATAGATGGTACCCTTAGGCCACATGGTATTACCTTCACACCCAACAGATGCAGAATATGGCACACTGCTACTAATGGCGGCAAATTTCAGTTTCTCCAAACTATATAAAAAAGAAAAGAAAGAAAAAAGGATTCAAGAGAAGGGAAAACTGCAGGTCGGAGCATAAGCCCTCAAAAGCTAGAAGCAAAGTACAGAATCTACTACCCAGAATTAAAATGCCAAATCATAGTTTTTTGCTTATTAATGTTGTTTAATTTGAAAAAAAACAAATCTTATTTCCTGCCTATTGAGAAAAAAGCTCTGAGTTGACCCTGAATATTGGGTTTCAAGAAGAATGGTTTTGCCTAACCTATACTTTAAGCATATGCAAGTCTCAGATAAAATGATAAACTTACATTTCTGCTGTTGAGATTCCATTTATGGCTTTCAGTATATCTAGCTTTTGCCCCAAACCAATATATTTAATTCTTGCTTAGATTTTTTTTAGGCGTTAATAGTTATCAAAGATAAAAAAGAGCCAGTGATTCATTTGAAATAAAAGTGTAATAAGAACAAATATGAAAGACTCTTCATGGACTTTTTGGCATGTGAAATTTCTTTTCAAGTGAGACTTTGAAAGAACTTGGGTGAAGGACAATGATAAGTAATGAAGTGACAGCACCATAATAGGAGACATAAGCTCTTGCAAAAATTAGAAAGTACTTTCTCTGCACAATTCAATGACATCATATTGTCTTTCACCTTTATTTAACTCCCTGTCATTCTTATTTTGTTTTCAAATAGAGAACCAAACATAAATCTATTCTATTTGAAATATGACTGAACTATTGATGTTCTTGATCATACAGTTAAAAAGTTTGTTCATTTCATTTTTTTGATACACAATAAAGCCACCAATCAAGAGGTGAAAAAAGGTTATATTCTAGCTTGTCTTATCTGTCTCAAATTAACCAAGCAAGGATTTAACTTCATTTTCCATTCTCACTTCTCTTAGTATCGTTCATGGATTACAGAACACAATATAAAAATATTAGTGCTATGTGAATTCCTTGACCATAGCATCTATAGTCTTGATGAAAAAGGAAATTGTGCGGGGACTGGTATAGGTAAATTTTGAAACTTGAAGTTTAGATTCCTGCATATATTTTTTGTCTCAAGTCTCAGTAATTGGTAAGATTTAAGAGACTAATTTTCAGTACTTAAGCCAAAAGAAAACATGTCCAGATTTCTGCAAATCGATCTACAATGAACCCAATGTACATCCCCAAACAATCTACAGCTAACACAAGAATATAGCAACTTAATCATCATCGAATAATTTCATTGCAAAAAGAAACTCAAGCCTCATCAACACCAATCACATATGATAAAAATTCAAAGCATCATATTTCAGAAACAATACAGAAATAAAGGAGCATAATGAAAAACCAACCTTTGGTAGAGTAGGTCCTAATTTTCTCACAAGGTTATCTACATGTCTTGTCCGAACCCCATATAAGAAAATTCAAAGCACTAATTATTACGGCTAAACAAATTCCTTGGAGATAAAAATTGATTAGCGCATTTACTACTTTAACTTGATAAAATAATACATTAGCATTAGAATCAGGAAAAATAACAAACTTACAGAAGGCGAATTGCGTGGAAGAGGCACAAATCCTGCAGGCATAGGTAAAGCGCAAATGAAAAGGAGTAAAGCATAGATGAGTTGGTAAAATTAGAGAAATGGTTCAAATTGCTAAAGAAAAAGACCGAGTGAAATCTAGATCTACGAATCCGACTCACGATTCCATACAATGACCTAATCGGAAACAGATCTAAAAGGATAATAGATTTGATAAAAAGGAACCTGGAGAATTTACCGTAAGTAAGAGCACTAACGATGGCAGAGAGTTGAGCGTTGATGGCGTGATGTTGGAGGCCTTGACGGCTTCGAGTGGCGATGAGCAACAGCAGCTTCTTGGGTATTTGGGTATATCTGGCGGAGATGGGAAATAAGAAAAGGGGACCGTGAGAACAGATGGAAAGGGGAAAGGGTTTCGTTCGATATTGATTTTATTAAACATTGCGGCGTTTGTAGAAATAAACGCCATCATTTATCATTTTATAGCGGCGTTTCTTAAAAAATGCAAGTAAAGTATAAGTATGTCACGGCGTTTGTCTAAAAATGTCACTATATATGAAATTTATTGTGGCGGTTTCTGAAAAACACCACTAAATTACAATTGTGTAGCGGTGTTTGTGTAAAAAAAGCCACTAAAGTACCAATTTGTTGCGATGATAGTCTAAAAACGTCGTGATATATATACCCTATTGCGGAGTTTTTCTAACAACGCCACGATATATGTGCCCAATTGTTGTGTTTGTTTAAAAATGCCACTAAAGAATTATTTTGTGGTAGCGTTTTTAAACAAACGCCACTAAAGTACTTATTTGTAACGGCGTTTGTCAAATAAACGCCACTAAAGTATGAGTTTTAGCGCCGTTATTGAAAAATGTCGTTACTGTTACCATTTAGTGGCGTTTTGGATATAAACGTCGCGATATGTATAAATTTAGTGGCATTTTATTTGAAAACGCCACTATATACGTGAAAATAGTTTCTAAAGGTTCATATCCTGATTTTTAATGGAGCGTAAAGAATCCTGAGACAGTTGCCAACAATTTAGAACAATATGAAGAAAGTTATATACATGAGATTTGCTCAATCTAAAAAAAAACTCATATGATTGAAAATTAATAATAAAATAAAATCACACAAAACTCAGAATAAGTAGGGTAATACAAACCCTAGAACCCAGAATTAAGGAAAACAAAGCAAGTTTGAAGCTTTTGAAAGCGTAATATTAAGAAGAATGAACAGTCGACCAAGCTTTGATTCTCTCTATGTTTGAGTCAGCGCGAAAGGAAAAAATTGATTGCTTATAAAATTCAGCACCAAACTTCACATGAATTGGATCAAAAGAACTTAGAAATGTAAAATCTAGGTTATAAAAAAATAACAGAATACCATAATCACATCAGAACAACAAAAGGGGGAAATTACACTTCGATGTCGGAGAAGAAAGGGAAAGCTTGTCGCTGGATACTAACAATTTCGCTACGAAGTTGGAGGGAATAAAAAGAAGAAGATATAAACGGCGAGAATGGAAAAATAGGTGAAGGGGAAAAATGAAAAAGGGTTAAAGGGGCACGGGAAATAGAAATTGTAAACTTACAACGTTTGTAAATACAAACGCCACTAAAGTATTGATAAATTGCGATGTTTGTATAAAAATGCCACTAAAGTATGAGTTTTTAGCGGTGTTTGTATAGAAGCGCTGCTAAAGTACTAATATGTTACGGCATTTATTGAAAAACGCCACTATAGGTGAATGCTATTACGTCGTTTGTATAAAAATGCCGCTAAAGTACTAATCTGTTGAGGCATTTATTGAAAAAACACCACTATAGGTGAACGCTATTGCGGCGTTTGAAAAGAAACGCCGCTAAAGTTACCATTTTGTGGCGTTTGAAATGTAAATGCCACTATATGTTTAAAGTAAGTGGCGTTTACAACACAATTTAAATACTCGTACTTTGAATCAATAATAAGATCAATATCTTAAACAAAGAAAAAAAAACCTCTTACATATAACTTTAAATAAGAATATTTTATTTATTTTTGAATGGTTGCAAATAATACATATGTAAGGTGCCTATTTATAGGCTCGTAAAAATCCTAAAATCATGGTTTTGAGTTGTTCTCGGTTCAATTGGACAACATCGATGTTGTGAGGCTTATTACTAGTTCTATTTGCTCGACGAGTACCCATGCGATGATGCATTCCATTCATAATTTACGCCAACGATGTTGGGTGACGGAGGTCACTTGGGTTCCTATAGAAACTAATAAGCTTGCTGACGAAATTACTAAGTTGAGCTCCCCTTCACTGTAAGAGATTGTGCTCCATTCTTCACCACCGTCGTCCCTTCAGGATACTTTCAACTGTTATGTGATGGGCTTGGATCACAATCAATGTGTCATGTTTTGGCTATTCAATTGAATATCTTCTTCATATTATCTGAGATTTGTTAAAGAATGATTCAAAGTCATCCTATTTTTAGTATTGACTGTTGCGGTTCCTTATTTGTCTGATTTTATTGTTATTTACGTGCAGTAGTGGTTCCTTCTTTCTGTTAGTTTGTTGTGTTGTCAAGCCTATATAAGGCCTATGTTTTTTCCATTCTAAGCATTGAATAAAAGCATAAAGTTTTGTCATCTAAAGTCCATTGTTTCTTCTTTATTTTTTCTACATTTTTGGTATTGAGAGCCAGGTTTGTTTGTAGTTGGGATTTGTAACAAATGGCGACTAACTGCAATGTCGTGAATGTATCTCAACTATCGATTCTAGTCTTCAACAGAGAAAGCTATGAGTTTTGGAGCATTAAGATTAAGACCTTGTTCAAGTCTCAAGATCTTTGGGACTTAGTTGAAAATGGCTATACCGAACCATATGAAGAGGCGAGATTGAGAGAAAATAAGAAAAATGACTCAAAGGCATTATTTTTTATCCAGCAAGCCATTCATGAGACTGTTTTTTTTAAATTGCTGCAGCAAATATAGCGAAAGAAACTTGGGGAATTTTGCAAACAACATTTCAAGGCTCCTCTAAGGTAATGAAGATAAAACTTCAATCACTTCGTAGGGATTTTGAAACCTTGCAGATGAAAGGTGGAGAGTTGGTGCAGTATTTTTTATCCAGAGTTGTTGAAATTGTCAACAAAATGTGGTCTTATGGGGAGAATATTAATGATCAAATAATTGTTGCAAAAATTTTAAGGAGTCTCACTCCTAAGTTTGATGATGTAGTGGCTGTCATAGAAAAAACCAAAGACTTGGAAACATTCATATTTGATGAGTTGATGGGATCATTGCAGTCCCATGAGGCGAGGCTGAACAGAACGGAAGAGAAGACCGAGGACAAGGCTTTTCATGTGAAAGGGGAGGCATTTCCCCCATAAAAATGAACAAAAATGGCGAGGTCATATTGGATCTCGTGGACGAGGAGGTCGTGGCAGAGGACGAGGCCGAAGCGATGGATACCAAAATCAAACACAACAACGAGATAACAAAAGGTTTATCCAATGCTTTTACTGTAAAAAATTTAGGCATGTGAAGGCAGATTGCTGGAGAAGATCAAAGCAAGAACAAGCAAGTTATGCTGAGCAAGAAGATGATGAGATCAAATTTTTCATGGCGTATCAAGAAAATGTAGCAAGCCATAGCAACATTTGGTTTCTAGAGAGTGGGTGCTCGAATCATATGACTGGTGTGAAGTCATTGTTCAACGAGATTGATGAAACCCTCAAATAAAAAGTAACACTTGGAGACAACAAGCAAATTCAAGTAGAAGTGGAGGGCAATGTGGCAATCAAAAGTAGTTCTGGTAATGTGAAACTTCTGTATGATGTTTATTACATTCCAAGTATGTCACAAAAGTAGTTCCTCATGTGTGATCAAAGATAAAAAATCAGATCAAACTATAGTTGACGTTCGCATGACACCAAACAAGTTATTCCTACTTGTTATTTCTGATGTTCAAAACCATGCACTTGATGTCAAAGAAACCAGTGAGTCGAGATTATGGCATTTGAGGTATGGGCATTTAAATGTCAAATGTTTGAAATTATTGTGTCAAAAGAAAATGGTTGATGGATTGCCTAAAATTGAGTCTTAGATACGTGTGAAGGCTTTATATATGGAAAACAATGTTGTCGTAACCAGTTTTTGCCCGGGCACAAATTGCGGGAAAAATAATGTGGATAAATGGTTTTTATTGAAATGTTTTGGGGAGTCGCCATCGGCCTTTTAGGTCAGGTAGGTCGAATACCTAAAAATCATCTTTTAAAAGATTTTTTAAGAAAACATCAATTAAAAGATAAATCGGTCTACGTTTAGCCAAAAATTTGTTTTTTAATAATAAAAAGGGATTCGTGGTCGATTACGTTTGGGGAAGGATTAGCACCCCCACAACGCCCAAATTTGGTCTATGTCGAGTATATATTGTCTCTAATAATAGAAATTAAGAATTCAAATATAAATTTAATTTATGATCTTTTCATATTCAATTGGATAATAAGGAAGAAAAATATTAAAATATTTTTTATAAATTATAAATAAAGTATTTATTTATTTAAAAATATTAGAAAAAGACTTCTAGTTGCTTTAAGACAACTCATTTCTTTAATATTAATAAATAAATAAATATTAATAAGAATATAATAATTTTCATAAAAATAATGAAGTAAATATATATATTTTTATAAGCAAGACATTTATTTATTTTTAAAATACCAAGACATCTAGTTATTTTAAGATTGTCCTTCTGATTATTTAAGAATAAATAAATATTATTATTTAATTAAATGATAAAATTAATTAAATAATACTTATTAATATACATATATTAATATGATTAAAATTAAATAATAAAAAAATATAATAATTTGAATTGAACTAAAATAATTATATATGTATACTAAGATATTTATTTATTTAAAAATATTGAAATAGAACTTCTAGTTACGTTAAGACAACCCTTTTCATAATATTTTAAAATAAATAAACATTTTTATTTAATCAAATATATATATATATATATATATAATATTTAAAATATTAAATTAAACATATTGAAATAATAATAATAATAATAAATTGCATTTAAATAGTGACTAAAATAAATAAAATTAAAACTATAAGATTAAATTACAAAATATAAAAATTAATAGTAAAAAATAAAAATAATTAAAATATCAGTGATTAAAATATAACATATTAAAATTAAAAGCTCTAATTCAAAATATTATGAAATATAATAATTAACAATGTAATTTAACCATAATAATTAACACGAGATTAAAATAAATTTAATAAAATTATAAGGGACTAATCATAATATTTACCCTAAATATATAAACATATACTGGAAAGGACTAAAATAAAATAAAATTCGGAGACCAACTTAAAGGTTCAGAAGTTAGTTTTAAGTGACTAAAATATAAATAAGTAAAATTAG